ATTACGGCCTAACGCGATTTTCGAGATTTTTTATAAAAAAAAAAACAGCCAGGTTTTTTATAGTCTTAATTAGGACCGCTTATACCATAAAATCCACTAATTCATGATACAAAATAAATTTTTAACTCAAACTTAAAGTTTTACGTTTCTGTTTCAGTTTTAAAATGTAGAAGATATGAAGGTATGCCTGAAGATGACAAATTATTTAGTAAATAAGGGTAAATTACCCCGATGAAGACAGTCGTCAATAAAAAAAATGGCTCTGTATTTTAATTTGAAGAAATTTAAAATTTATGAGTTTTCAGTAAGTAATGCTGATTAATTAAGACTACGAAAGAATGCATGTTTGACTGTTTTCTGCAACAATAAACGTTACTTTTCCAATATTGTGATTACCAACCCTTTTCTCCAATTTGTTTGGAATATATACTGATAACCATATACGGACATGCATGTGCTTATGCGGTATATAAACATTGCAAATAACAAAATTGGACATGGTATACTCGTAATCCCCACCACAACAGGTTCGTAAAGCAGACTGCCCGGAAAGTTAAAACGGCTTATTGCGACTCACGAGTACTAAACAAGCGAAGAGCACCGTTATGTAATGGCGCGTTATCGTCACAGATCAATCCTTTGGCGAATTGAGGCCAATGCAATTAGTTCCCAATGCGTTCTGACGCCATGCGGCGAGCCAAGTTTAGATACCGTTCGTTTTTCCATTAATGCTTCCTAGGTGTACGCCTGGAACTTTAGGGTGACATAGTACACCTTCAATCCAAATGGAATATACTGATTCTGGTGGTATAATACACCTTAAATTCAAATGCAATAAATATACTTATTCCATCTCTCATATGATGATAACAGTTTTCAATCTAATGCTGCGTACACAATGAACCAATTGTAACGCATTCCTAAAGACGTTTATGTGAACGAAGAGTAAAGCTGAAGATGGCGCCTGAATTTTTCTTCTTTCGAAATAAAATTCCCTTGCCGTCCACATCTTAACGAATTAAATGTAATCAATTGCAATCGTCGTGTGACCTTCTAATGCTTCCAAGAAAGGTTTTTGGGTGAACTTCCTTTGATGTACCTCCCCATGACAAAATTTTAGCAAATTCAGTGAAAACATCGTGGGATGCTGCGATACCCCAGCTTAAATGTTTTGCTAAAAAAAGCTAGATAGGTATAATGCACATTTTTTTCTGTTGCTCGAGGTAATCTTTGGTTGACTGATGCAAAATAAGTGATTAAAAGTGGACATTTTTTAGTAAAATATTTTACCAGAAAATTAGGATTATGGTATTCTACTACCCTACAATACCAGTTACGCAAACAAAAATTTTAGATCAAATTTTAAAATGATGCGCTATTTGAGGAGATAAAAGAACTTTCTAAGGAATTAAAACTAACAATTCATTACTTGCCGAAAATGAGGTTACAAATTGAGAAAATAATCGTGTGTAAGAGCAAAGGGAAACAACCCAAAAGCAGTCAATGCCACTTTTGTTCAACGAAAAAAGACAGAAAAGTTAAAACTTTTTTTAACACATGCCAAAAACCTATCTGCACAGATCATTCTAATGTCAATGTCGAGGTCAAAGTAGTTTATCAACAATGTTTCGAAAGTTAAAAATAAAATTATGTATAAAAGCATAATTATTTTTCCAGAGTAGGTATTTGCTTGTCACAAATTTTATTCCCGAAAAATACGTAGGTATATTTGTTTTGGGGTACTAAAATATCCCACAATATCAGGTATGTGATTTCATATTATACGATACCAGTCGAGGATTAAGGTAAAATAATTTAAAATACAGGGTGGCCAAATGAAAACGAAACAGAATCATTTTCAGGAACTGCGTCAAGATTGTAGAAAAACGCTCAGACCCGTCGATTTTAAATTGAAGGGGGACATTCTTTGCTGGTATTTTTGACTCCGCCACTTTCACCCCCAGGCAAGGGTAAGCATCACCCCAAAATATTTAAATGGCATTGGGGGTTGAGTAATATTTCTTTTGAAAACTCTTACAATTATCTTTACAACAGACTTTAAATTTTATAATAGAAATTTTCTACACATTATATGTGTACAAATTATAATTTTTTAACTTTAGCAGAAAACTTTTTTAGGGAAGCTTATGAAACTCATTAAATTTGTTTGCTCGGTTTTTTATACATGTTCAACTGACTTCGGAAAGGCTATACGAGGAAACGTCCGGAAACACAGTGTTAAAATTAAAAAAAAAATAATCAAATTTTCTAAAATATCTCTAAAGACACTTGACAAAGGATAAAACTTGGGCTAATTAAGAATTCGCTGAATAATAATAAATACGTCAATCAGTGGAGATAACTACCACATCGACTATCACTCGGAACTACAAAAACTCGGAGCCACTAGTATTCCAGATGTAGGTCGCTGTTTTTATTTTCTAGTGATGTTTGTAAGAAAAAAGATGTTTTCCCTTGGCAAAAAAGTTTATAAAATTTCAATTAATTGGTGATTTCAATGATTTCTTCAGACATATTGACTAAATGAACATCTACATTGTATTTAAATCTGTATCTCTAGAAAAATTGATATAGAAATTTCACACCTTGTATCAGAGCATTTCCGTACTTTTTTCCTATTTAAATTCCAATTAAGTAAGATTTTAAGTCTATGTTTGTTTGATTAATTTCGTAAATTTTAAATAAATATATAAATCCAAATAATATAAATAAATAAACCTTGCATAAATATTTATTTTCAGAATTATGAGAAAGTTAAAATCGACCGAATCTAAGGACGGTAGGAGGTAGGTAGTCTACATGGGGGTTGTTTACATGATTTCTTCGAGACTCAGCTGTCGGGAACATGTAGTACCAGGTGTTCAACTTCAAAAAGGCCGTTGGAAACGTATTTAACTGAATTGCACTTTGCAATGGCTCTAGCACACCTGACGCTTAAAGTTGAGGGAAAATTCTGTTTTCGTCACCAGACGTTAGCAATTTTATATACAGGGTGAGTCAACATCGGAACCCGGGAGTAGGTACTTTTGAAAATAAATAAGGTTTTTTATAGATGAACATTTTTACTCATCGAAAGATACAACTAGAGAAAATTTTAATTTCACAAAAAATACCTTACACTAGAAATTAGTTTTACATGTTCCATTTAATGGAAATATATTAATCAGGTAGGTACCCGCAAATCTAACATTATCTGACAGGCTGAAGGTACTGTTAAACTTAAAGGTTAAAATTTCACTTAGGATTTTAGGTCTCCATATCAAATTATTTACAATTCAATATAAATACCTCAATAAACTAAGTATAGGTATTATGTTTAAAATTCTAGACAGTTCCGTGAGATTTTAATTTGTTTAACTCTAGTGTTTGTAATATTAAATTCATCCTGCCCTATAACTAATCAGGGTAGCGTATTTTTAAATAAATAAACATGTTTTAGTAATACGTAAGTAAATGGTGCTTATTTCACTCCCCTGTTCTGCTATACTAGCTGGTATGTTTATCTTCTACTATGAATATATACACAAAATCAATAGTTTCATATTTTATAAAAATACAGAATTTCGGATCGCAAAAATTTGTCGTTATTTTATTTCTAATATTTAGTGATAGTGAATCCTCTACTAAGTCCTACATATTTCGACTACAACATATTCAACTTTTTCTATTCTACAGGTAGTCACTACTGTGTAATGTTTTATTTTGTTTACCGGAAATTACTTCAGAGTTTTCAATGGACTTTCCATATTACCGGTTATCGTAGTAGCGAATAAATTTAAAATGTTTTTTTCGTGGTTTTTGTTGGTACGTATATAATTAATATCAGGCAGAAACTGTTAGTAAATTCCCAATTATATACTTGGATATTTACCTTACGATTTATTTTGAATAAAATTTGCGCTCATAAAAGAATATTTCGATTTCTCCTATTGTTGTACTCCAGGCACGTGACATCAATCACGTCGCCCACAGTACACGTGTCTGGCAGCATACCTATTAAAGAGCAACAACCAAAATATAGGCATATCCTGCAATGTTACTATATCGTACGTACTGCTTACAGTTTTCTATAGATAAAAGTAACACAGAACATTACAACTTAATAAACTAATCTCATCTCAAATAGGTATGCAAATGATTTCGAAATAGTAAAGCACGTAACAATAACAATAAGAAAAATATATTATCTGCCTAAAAAATTACTAGGTATTTTAAAAACTTGCACAGCATCATGTTAGTTAACAAAATGATATATTTGACAAAATTATTTTAAATAGGTACCTACCTATTCATCATCCAATAGAATTTTAATATTTTAATAAAAAAATATTCATTGCTAATCGACAGCACGAAAGATGTGGGTTCAAGGTTTAATGCTGCTAAAAACTCGTACACGTGTAATATTTTACGTCAAGGTCTATATTGTAATTTATTACATTACAATTGTGATAAAATTTCGACGAGCACCGATCCAAGGCCCAGGCATGCGCTACTAAAATCAGATCCAACTTTCAACTTAAATATTTCTAAGCAACGCAACGCAGTATTATATATTCGTATATTAGATAAATATGGAATTAATAATAAATTCCTGATTGAAAACAAAATCTTTAGATCCAACAATTAAAAAGGTACTTCCCATTGAAAACAGGGACAATGAACAATACGGCCCAGATTACAGCAAGTGTGACTAACTACGATGATGGTATTTCCGCTGAACTAAAGCTGACGCCAACATACGTTCTCGTTAGTCGTTTACCATTGTATGGTGCAGCTCGAGGAAAGGTGTACGTCATCAGCACAGGCACAGGGTCATTATTATTCCGAGTACCAGAACAATGAAATTTCAATATAAAAACAATAAAATGTCTCATCATTATCGTTTCACGAACTATGGTTAAGAGGTCAATCGTGCGTTAAAGATTTTTTTATATTATTTGCAGATTAATTATTGTTAGAGGCTAGAAAGTAACACTTACTGTTGATCGAACAGACGGTTGACTTATTCACACTGCTGGATCTGTCAGCTGTCAAGCTGATTTGCAACAACAAAAAATTACACTGTAAGGCGCACGGAACCTACACATTAACCACTGCAACACAAATTATCTTTTCACAGTAACTCTTCCGATTTGTCTAAGGTGTCCAAAATTTACGAGCCTTCTGATCGAGCTGGCCAGCAGCTTGTACGCCACCGCAAATTTCACGGGGTTCTTGATACTTTCGCCAAATTACGTATAACGTATATAATGCCGTAGTTACCAATTACTGTGACATTCAATGATATATCAAACACTTTTAAACAAATTAAAAAAATAAAGAACACTAGTATTCACAAGGGCATAAGCCACCCGCCTCAAACGGGCCTCGAATGCGGACTGACAACGAGAACTTGCGATCTGAGGTTCGTAGGAAATTTTAAGCAGGCGCGTTAGCTCTGGAAAAGGCAGGGACAACGGTATCTTTGCATGATAGATAAAGATAATGCTCTTCAAAACTGTACTGTAATCATCATGGCGGCCGTACTTGAAAAGTTGCCTCATAGTAAGTTCGTAGAAGCGTAGAAATTGCTTTTCACAATATGGAAACAATAATTTATAAAAATATCGCCAGGTTATGTATAAAAGTACACGTAAGTATTATATTCCATTTTTAGATTTTCTAAATTCAAACTTTATAGGTACATATTTATTAGCTTTGAAAAAATGATAATTCAAGTAAGTACAGTCAATCATTAAAAAAGATGCTATAATTTAAATGCTAAATTTGCAAACTGACCTTTTGTAGTATTATTTGAGAACTTACCTATCCGTATAGAAATACAAGAGAAAAACAAATTATTTGATTCGGTGGAGGAAACGCAGATAGGTACATTAAATTAGTACAGCCATGTTTCTTATAATTAAGCAGTTACACATAAAAAGAAAATGTCATTGCAAGGGAGATTAGATATGCACAGTGATAACTCTACTGATATGATTTATCTACCTATTTCAGTAAATTACAGTCCATCACATATTTTCTTTTATAAGATACGTACAGTCATTTTGTCACAACTAAATTAGTGAGATAAAACGGTTAGGAGTTGCCTGCATTAATTAAAATATGGACAAATATTAAATTTACAAAAAGTAAACATAAATTATTGTAACATGAAGGTAATAAGTACTAATACTTTTTGCTGGAGAAAATAAAAAAATAATTTCTATCTAAAGAAAATTAGGGTCGTTTTACAGTCCATAAATTGCATACTTACTTTTAGCGTCGCTCGAAAGAAATTTAATGGTTAAATTTTTGGTACCAAAATGACCAGGCGAGGGTCATTTTATAACAGTCATTTCTGCATAAGAAAAATATCTCGTTAAGACAAAATCCAAAAATTATTTTAAACTCACATTTTACATCATGTATCTTAATTTTTTTAATAATCATGTTAAACTCATTTTTAAACTTATTTATCATACTATATCTGTATTTTATTAAATTATAATTATAGGTGCATTTGCCTTAATTTAGTAGTTTTAAACTGGGACACCCTGTATAGTTATTACCAATTATTTGTAATCAATCAATAATTGCAAATTAATAGTGTTATTTAAAAATCCTATGTAAAGGGAATTCAATTTAAAAATAACGTATTTTTAAAATATTGCATACCTGAAATTGTTTGAAAATGATCCCTGCAATAAAGGAATAATTTAAAAACGATTAAGGGGCCCAGAATATTAGAGATTATCTCCAAATGAACAGAGAAATTAAGACGCTAATGCGATTAGTGCTGCATATCTCGAAACGCTTTGTTGTCCTTTCTGGAAATTGGGTTCAGTGTCTATTTTAATAACTACGTCTAGATGTATATTCGGTGAGTATTTTGACCTCTACAAGGTTTACTGAACAGATAGATATAGGCAGATAAATAGTACCGGTATACATATTATTTTAGAGATTAATAATAAATAATTGGTTCGTCTGTTGATTTTCCCAGAATTTCTCAGTGGCATTTATTTATTAAGTCTTGTCTTGAAGTGGTACTTGCTACGAAATATAAAGTTAACTTTGTTGCCGCCGTAGAAGTCTTAAAAATTATTTATTTAATTATTAAATTTTAATGGAAAGATGATTTTTATAATGGAAGAATACCAATTGTTCACCGTCAATGCGCAAATAACAACGTGACATTTGTAGCTGCATGGAAACATTAAATTTAAAAACATAGTACTATCTCCGCATTTGCTATCGGAGTTGCTGTGTTAATGTTATGACGCATTTGGACCAAATACGACGACGTACAGGGTTATTCACATGATACTTTTTCACATTCACAACTTTCTATTTAGAAAAAAATGTCAAGGACCAACGTTTTAAGAAATTTTCTTGCGATTTCAAAGAAATATATACAGGGTGGTCCAGATTTTAATAGACAAACTTCGGGAAAGTACTAAATAACAAAAATTATTAACCACTTTGCTCTATGAACATATGGAAATGTATCCAAATTTGGTACACATTTTTTTTCAAATATTTCTCCTAGTTTTGTATGCACATAGTCCAAATTCAAAGACCAGTGGCGGAGAAACAAGGATATCGTTTTCTTATTTAGAGTAAAACTTCTACGACACTGAATTAATTGGTAATATGAATACATTTTATAATGGTCTGAAACATTCCGGATGAAAAAGCATTCATTTGTTTTTCTCGAAAGGTGAATGGTTTATGAGTTATGAGACATATTATTCAAGTAAACAAAGCGTTGAAATCGGGAAAAATAAAACAAATTTGGATGGTCCAGATTTTACTAGACAGTAAGGAAAGTTTTAAATGACAAAAATTAACATCACTTTGCTCTATGAACATAGGCGCAGAAAGCTTCCATTTATGAAATACAGGGCGTTGAAATTAACAAAAATAAAATATATTTTTTTAAATATCTGGAAAACCGAATCATAATATGTCTCATAACTCGTAAACCATTCACTTTTCGACAAAAATAAAGGAATGTTTTTTCCGGAATATTTCAGAGCGTTATAAAATGTATTCATATTACCAATTAATTCAGTGGCGTAGAAGTTTTACTCTAAATAAGGAAACAACGTCCTTGTTTTTCCGCCACTGGTGTTTGAATTTAGACTATGTGCATACAGAACTAGGAAAAATATTCGAAAAAAAATGTGTACCAAATTTGGATAAATTTGATGAAGCGGTTTTCCAGATATTTAAAAAAATTGTTTTATTTTTGATAATAATTTCAAAGCCCTATATCTCATAAACGCTAGCTTTCTGCGCTAGTCTGCAGCTGTCTGCTCTATGTTTATAGAGCAAACTGATGTTAATTTTTATTGTTTAGTACTTTCAAGAAGTTTGTCTATTAAAATCTGGACCACCCTGTATATATAGAAAAAACAATTATTGACGGTTGCATACAAAAGATATAAACCAAACATTTTTTATCGGAACACCCTGTATATTTGCAACTCTTTGGAATATGTTTTCCGTTGTTAAATTTACTAAACAAATCTTTAATTTATCTAATAACAACAAATATGTTTTTATAAAAGGTGTTTATCTTCATCCTGTTCTAGACAAAAGACTATATGTATTCCACGAATTATTTTTTTTGATGCCTTGTTACCCACCTTACCCTAGTGGTAGTACTAATTTTGGTCAATATTGTCTCAATGGGCTTACGCAATCAGCTACTTCCGATACTAAACTTCAAGACTTTCTGGTTTTTCTAAAAAAAGAAAAAAACGCCCAAGATTTTCTATTAGGTCATAGAATTTCCTAGACTTATATTAGTGTTTTTTCCTTAAATTTATTTTAATATAACATAGAGTTAAGCGATTAGCTCTGAGCTAAACTTCGCCCTTGCCTATTGTATTGTTTTTACAAATCACAATACCTACTTACTTCAATAAAGTCATTTTATTATTATTATTATTATTATTATTATTATTATTATTGTTATTGTTATTGTTATCTTTTAGAATATCCCATATAAACAGATCAAATTAGTCTTGTGAACTCCGGAAATGATTCCTTCACAAGAAATATTTATTTAAAAAAATGTCGTTCGCTTAGAACACGATAAGGTTATTATAAAACACTTTTTATAGTATAGTATTTTTTTGATATTAGAGTAGGTATTTAAGGATCTGTTAGGAAATTTAATAGCAGAAAAATCTAAATATGCACTGGTTCCATGGCAATCTTGACTTTATCCATTGTGAAGGGTCAACAAATACACCAAAATATTGTTCAAACCAATAAGCGACAAATATTTGTATATTTGGAATTAAAAAAAAGAAGATTGGTTTATATCTTCGAAATTCAGAAGTCAACTGTTTTTTTTATACACTACTTTTTTTTTATAAACTACTTTGAAATCACAGGAAAATTTCCCAAAATATTGGTTTTTGCCATTTTTTCTAAAACAGAAAGGTAAAAAAGATAATGGAAGTAGAATGTTATGTGAGTGACTATGTACACAGGTCGGAAAACGTTTAGAAAAAGAGGAAAAATAAATAATACGAAAAATAAAGAAAAAAATTACATAAATCATCAAAATATACTAATCTAGCCATAATCGGAGCACTTTGTACAAAATAGTAATAAACAATAATTGTTAATTTATCAAATAAACAACAACAAAAAAGTAATATAAACACAATGTCACCTCTTCGGCAATAAACATATATTTTTTGTTTACGAAATAAAGTAAATGTATTTCAACACTTTGTCATGAGTAGAGTATTCAGATTTAATTCGAAGACGATTTGATATAGGCTGTCTTAATGCATCTACATAACTAAATGCTACAGTGAAGGTGCCTATTCTGTCTATTCGAGTTTTCGTGTGAATTCATATAAGGGATTCCTTATAGAAAATCTGACAATTCAGCACTTTTTAAAACCCTCGTATCTTATGTTTCATTAGTTTGTAGCTTACTGTATATTTTTTATAACAATATTCAAAAAGTGTAATTTTTATTTACTCTATAAAATTGTCTGCCTTCAAAGTAGGTACTTGAAAATGGTAAAGTAACAAAGCAAACAAACAAATTGGTTTTTAGCTTCGTCGTGAGTTTTTAGAACTTTCTAAATGTTACTCTGACAAAAATTTACACTTTTTAAAAAATAGCCTTTATGAACCACCAAACATATACCGATTTCGAAGTTCTTAGTTCTACAGACGTTGTTACACTATGAAGAAAATATAACAAAGCATGTTACATTTTAAATGGTCAAACTATTTTTTAAATCTATCAAATGTCAAACCTTAACAATTTGCTCTTTCAGTTTTTGTATCAGATGAAAAAATGTTATTAACCAGGCTTCACAGATAATAAACTAATTTTTCCACAAAATTTT